TCCATCTGGAGCCATTTTGTTTCTAAACAAATAATTCTCTTTAGTATTTCTTTAGAGCAGGTCTGCCGCTGGCTATTTCTTTCAGACTTGGAGCATCTGAAAATATCTTTCTTTCACCTTTGTTTTTTTTACTATATGCAAAATCTTAGGTTTGAGTTATTTTGTCTTTCAGCAATTTAAATGTCATGTCATTGTCTTCTGGCTTCAATAGTTTTCTGTGAAAATTCAACCGTCAATCTTATTGCTTCTTCTTCGAAGGCATTGAGCATGTTTTTCTTCCTCAGGCTTCTAAAATTTGTCTGTTCTCCTTTGAGAGTTTTCTACAGGTTTACTATGATGTGCCTGGAAATGGCTTTCTTTATATTTACCTTACTTTAATTTCTCAGTACTCATTAAGCTTATGCTTTGATGTTGTTTATCAGTTTAAGCAAATTCCCAGCTGTCATATCTTCAAATATTACCCCTGCTTTATTTTCTCAATGTTCTCTCCTTCTAGTATGCCAGTTACACTGACATTTAGAGTTATCACTGTGTCCCATAAGTCTGTATGTCCTATGCCCTCCTTTTTATTTTCTCCATTCTATTTTCCTTTTATAATTCCCTGATGCCTTTATTTTCTGTATTTATTTGCTCTTGTGTTCATTCTAATTTAGTCATTTCTGGAATAATTTTTACTTTTTCTACAATTTTTCCTAGAGTCTATTGTTTTTCTTTTCACATCTTCCCTTTCTCTTACCATCTTGTTTCTTAGTATTTAAAATTCTGACTTTTGTTGTTCGTTTGCAACTTTGATAATTTCCTTAATTTTTAATTTTCATTTTGAAATGTTAGGTTATAGCTTTATTTATACTTTTAATATGCTTTGTGGGTATATATGTAGGAACACTAGCCTGTTTCTTTTTCTCTTTTTTCTTCTAACAACTTATTTTACCTTGATTAAAGAATTATATTGTCTAGTTTTTAAGTGAAATGAGTTTCCTCTATTTTTTGGGAAAGAGAAGTATCCAACATGGCATTTCTAGCTCTATTTTCTTAGTGCAGAGGTTGGCAAACTTTTAATGAAAAGGACCAGATAGTAAATATTTTATGCTTTGCTGGCTACATAAGGTCTCTGTCTCCTCCCCCTCCTTTTCTGTCTTTCCTTCTCCTTTCTTCTTCTTCCTCCTGCTCTCTTTTATCCTCCTCTTTCTCCTTTTCCTTCTCCTCCTTCTTCTCTTCCTCATCATCTTCTTCTTCCTCTCCCTTCCTCCTTATTATTCTCTTCTCTTTTATCTTCTCCCCCCTTCCCCCTTCCTTTCCCTCTTCCTCTTCCTCTGCCTCCTCCTCTTCTATCATCCTCCTCCTTCTTCTACTTCTTTCTCTTTTTTTTTCTTCTGTTCTGTCATCTCCTCCTCTTTTTATTTTTCTTCTTCCCAATCTTATCTTGTGGTATCATAGAAAATAAGCCACAGGCCACATTTGGTCATTGGGCTGTAGTTCACTGATCTCTAATAAATTTAACTAAATAAATACAGATTGATTTATAACACCAAGAGTGTTAAAGCATTTTTTCCATCTTTTTGCAAAGTGATTAAAATATGGCCTCCTATTTTTAGATATCTGATTCCTCTATTCTTTTCTTCCACTGTTATATGGATCTCCTCTTATCCATATTTACCAGTCTTTTTCCATTTATATCCTACCACCAGCAATTTTCCTTCAGTGTAGGTCTTTGAGAAGTTTGACTTGTTAGCGTCAAGAGTTATAAGACCCAGACTGCTCTAGCACCTTTATAGTCTCCACTCCCTGTGAATTGAAAAAGTTCCCACTGTGGTTTTTAGATTGATTTGTTGTAGTTTTCAGAGGATACTTGGTCCTGATATTAGGACTCTCCCATTCTCAGAACTGACAGAAGCCTACATGCCTTCTTTCTACTTCCTCCCACAGAAATGCTGACACCATGCCGATCACGTGCATTTCAGTGGTTTTTACTATCTCATTATATTTTGAGATTTGTGGGGTTATCTTGCCACCTAGTTTTGTTATAGATGTTATCTGTGGGTTTTTGTTTTGGTTCTTCTAGTTGCTCTCTTGGTTATTATGAGGGTTTTTTTTATGAGGGAAATCCATAGCCCAAGCCTCAACTGCCAAAATGTTCCACAAATCCTCCTCTCTGAGGAGGATTTTGCAATAGAAACACTTTTGCAATAGAAAAATCTGGCATCTGTGTGGAGAACAGACAACAGAAAGAGCAACAAGAGACTGTTATAATAACACTGACAGGAGAGGATGGTGGCATGAAATATGGTAATTGTGGTAGAAGTAGTGATTAAGTCATCACATTTTGAAATCTCCTTTGGTACACTCATTTTTTTTCTGTATGTCCCATTCTTCCCACCAGCAATTTTGTTTCACTGGGAATTTGTTCTGGGATTCTTTTAGCTGATGGTCTCTCTTAGATGGGTTGTGGTTTCTCTTTGTTGGTTCAGTACAGCTCAGATCTGGCTGGGGAGAGGGTTCAAACTGTGGGAGTTCCAGAGGTTGCCGAGTTTGCATCCCTGTTGCCCTCAGTTGCAAAGGCAGGAAGCTGTCATTTACCTGCTGATGCACCTGGCAAAGCCTCTTTAGTTATTGTGTTTCTGTGCCCTCCAGGCCTCTGCTACAGGAAAGGAAAATTCAGTTCTCCCATTCACTCTTTCTTGGCCTTTCCAGCGTCAGGAACATCTGCCACATTCACAGGGGCTGGTGGCAACTTTACCTTGGAAACTAAGCAGCTAAATCTTCCCAGTTCCTGTTGCTTTCCATTCCTGACCTTGGCTTGACACTGGGATAAAGCTTCACACTAGTTCTTTATGCCAGGGTGAGCCCAAAGTCTCGTTTACATTGTAGATCGCAGGAGGCATTTGGCCAGGAAAAGATGAACAGCTTAAAGTTGAGAGTAGATAGGAAAGGTCACGATGCTCCAAGAATTTCCTTGAGTAGAAAATCTTCTTTGTATCCTGAATATCTTTAAAATCATCAGAACCTGATTAATGTTATATTAATATATATGTGGAGTAGATTTAGTTAATGGATTGTCATTATGGTAAATTTTCAAATTTATTGATAAAACTATGAAGATTATAAAAGAATAATACCTATGCTTTGGGAAGAAAGTAGAACATTTTGTATCTGGATTTATTTATTGAACTTTGTGATTTGTTTGGAAAAAACATATGTCAGGGGTGTGGTTCTCTAGGTGTTTACAACCTTGTCAAAAAGATGGGATTTACATGAATTTAAAAGAAAAGGAAGAAAAGAAAAGAAATAAAAAAGCCTCTTATACAAGGCAGCACAAAGTTTCATATGAGCTTTTAGATAAGTTCTGTAGAAATTCAAAGGAAAGGCATGTAGTAGAACCTTAACCTTAGTACCTGGGATATTCTTTACATTTTATGTTGATATGGCTAACCAAAAGTTTAATTCTACAAACATCCATTTATCAAAACTATGTGCTAGTCACAAGTGATTCAACAATATAGGCAAAATTGTCCCTCGTTGCCAGGAATTCATGATTTAGAAACTGCAGTCACTGGTGCATTCATTTTGAGTTGTTTTTTCAGGCTTTGTCATAGTCTAGTTCGTGACCAACAGCATATATGTGATAATATTTGTCATGTTTAAGGATGAGAGTTGTAATGAGGGAACAGAGCAGCCAAACTGGTCACTGTGTAATAATAAGGGAAGAAAAACAAAGCAAAACCTTTGGTGTTTTTACCAATTTATTCAACAAAAACTCAGTGTTTATGATGGCTGGTGCTTCCAAGGCAATCAGCAAATGCACAAGTCCATACTTGATAGTGATTCTTCCAGTTAGATTTAGAAAGTTGCTGTGAACATGATGATGTTGAAATCTAAGTTTCTCAGTGTTTGGGCATAGTTAGTATAGAGACAGAATTTCCACTCATTCATTTGTAGAGTTGATCTTGTTGTTAGGGTGTACATGGGGAATGTAAAACAATAAGCTTAAAAGTTATGATTCATGATTCATTGCCACTTAGAGATTGTGTTTAGATGCAACTTCAGTCATCTTTCAATTGAATCACTTTCTGAAGTTAAATTAGCAATTGATTTTCTGGTAGTAACATATTAATCTTTGTGATATCAAAATCATTAATAATAATAAAGTCTTCATACATAGTTCTCTGAGTAATATATAATTCCATTATGAAGCTAAATGACATGGATACTTTTTAGCTGTTGATAGGAAAACTTATCAAGACAAATATGTGTTTTCTTTACTTTTTTTAAAGATACGAATTCTCCCTGTATTTTTATTCTGTTTAAGAATTCACTCTTATCCTCCTTCAGGTGTGAATAAATATGACAAGAAGTGTCACTGAACTAATTAAACACTGGGATATTTGATCTTAGAGAAAAGTTGTACGAAAAAGGGATTCATTCTATTTTTTAGTTTCAATTAGGAAAGCATAATTCTTATGCTTCTAAATAGAATAGTGAATCCTCAGAAATGTCTTTATTAACTCATGGAACTGTTTTGAGGTTTTTGGAAATAGTCTGTAAAAATCAAGGGCTGAAAGGGCCAGATATTTTTTCTGGTGAAGTAAAAAATATTATTAGTGATTTGTCTTATTTATGGGTCATATCAAGATATGGGGTAAAATCTAGAAAAACCTTTGACATTTCTCAATGTCTTAGTGGCTGATGGTTTTTCACAAAGTAATATAAATACTTTCAAAATAACAAGCATGTAAAAATCTAATTTAACCTGAAATTATTTGGTGAATCCCTGACAAAGGGGCTTTTAGCCACTTCAGATTCATATCTTAAGTATAATGTTAAATGCAATGTTGTATTTCCCTTTCAACATAATGGATTTTCTAAGGGTTCTTCATGTACAAATCCATAACACTAGAAACTTTTTTTTTAAATATCAAGAATTCAAAACATTCTATTTCTCCAATTGTTCCATGGTTGCTATGGCTTTAAAAGAAGCATCAAACTATTCTAAAATCCTTTCTCTCAGTGATCCATGGCTTTTCTAAGAAGCCAGCATTGCTGCTATAATGGAACCAGGGGCTCTCCATGGCTATGAAAGCGTTGTTACTACTGCCACAGCACAAAGTAACTGAAGGTCATGTCTGAATTTATTTGCAGAATTTTATCTGCAAAAGATCAACTATTGAATATTTATCATACACAGAAAGTGTTGGAAACTTGGAAAAGATTTCTCTGGGGATTACTTTAGAATTTGTGTGTTTTCTAACTTGCTCAAAATCCTAAAGTACAATGCATATATGTTTGCTTCAGGAAGACTGTTCTGGTTGCTCTGTTTCTTGGGCCACTGAGTATCATAACCCCTGTGCTTCTGTATGCATATCTATCATCACTGGCTTTTTCCTTAAGGTAAGCAGCCATGTCATATTATCTTTGTACTTTCATTGCCTGGTGCCTGGTGAGTGCCTGCATCATAGGGAAGAAAAACATATCTGGAATAAATCAATCCCAGGTTTAAATTCAGGAAGAACATCAAATTGATGACAAAGAGCATAAGATAATCTTGTGTAATCATATGTACAGTATCAGCTTATTTAGATGTGACTAATTGTCATCCATTTGCTCTTACAATTATCTTCATTCTCTTTTATAGACCTGCAATTTCCTACCAAAGTTCTCTTAAAAACAGAGAAGAATGAGCAAAGCTTCCCCAGGGGCTGGATGCTTAGTCTGAATGGGTTGTCATAATTGCAATATTTTTATGTTTTGTATTTTTAAAATAACATGAAATTTTCCTTCTATTATCCATGTTTATTTTATTATGAGTACTATATAAAAATATAACATATAAACATATAGTCTCTCTATATTTATTTGATTATAAATATGATTTTTCTAACTATTTAATTCAATTAGATAATCCAGGAATATTCATTACTTTTATCCCATGAGTTCCTATACTCTCTAATTCAGTTTGATAGACACGGCACTAAGATATATCTCTTCAACAAGCCATTTCCAGGAACAAAGGCTACTTTTCAACCGTATCTCCAATGCTTCATCACATAACAAATATATAACCTTAGGCTTTTTCTGAGATTGAATTTGTTCTAAAGTATTATCTTAAAATTAAAGTGAGAAATAATAAATAAATTCAGATTTCTTTATTAATCAATCAGGATCAGGAATATGATCCTATTTGAACACAGAAAATATTCAAAATACAAAATAGCAGAGGAAAAAAACCAGAAGTCCTCTTCCAATTGCCATTTGTTAAATGATTCATTGGTTCTTTACCTCATTCATTCAGTAGTCACATTATCAAGCAACCAAGGAGCCTATGACTCATTAGGAAAGACAGGCAAGAAAATAACTTCCCACAGCATAAGACAGAATGGCAGTGATACGACAAGGGCTCAAAAATCATGTTGTGGGAGTTCAGGGAGAGTGGTGTAGAGTGATGGGGATGGAGGTATAGTGATGGGTGATGGGGAAGGTCTTACAGAAGCAGGGAGATATATATAATATATACAGGCAATAGGAGTGTAGGATTTGAAGCATAGAGTAAGAAAATCACCACAATTCTGTGAGTAAAGGTCTACCAAACTGGTTTATTTCAGCAAATAAAGGATATGAGATTTGAAAGAAGCATCTACCACGTGTGGTTTTGATGCTGTGGACAGTGGAATACTGTGGAGCTTGAACACCCCTGAGTAGTGCAGTTAAAGATATGGCAGTCTGGAACCTTTTGTAGCAGCAGTTTTAGCATACCATATCTCCAACTTGTGTATTTAATCTAATGGCATATAGGACCTGTCTGGAAGAAATAGGGAACTAAGAGATACCTCTGTAATGTTCCATCAAGATTTTGAGTTAACAGGTCATTATTATCTAATAGACGGCATTCCTTGCTAATGCTGTAGCTATGTCTGATCTTACTGATGTGACCATCTATCCATTCACGATATTCAGAGGCAACAGTGCCAGTAGACTATTCTGTGTTGTTCAAGGTGAAGCCTCAGAGAAACACTTTTTGTTCTTTTCAAAGGTGGAAGGGAGACATAAATAGAGATAAACAGGACTGGAATTAGGTTGACTGGTGAAATAATAAAGAGTGAGTTAAATTATGAAGCACATTTTGCAGCATTTTTAGATATTATAAGGAGTTTTCACAGAGGGGTCTAGGTAAATGGGTGAGGTTTTTATTTTCATTTGACAAATAAATGACCAAGTGATTATTACACCATCATCCGGTTAGTAGGCAACTGAGGCCATATAAAAACTAGATCTTGCTCCCTTGTTCCTTCCATTAGAATTGTTCTTGCTGAGACAGGGTGGCTGTCAATCAGGGATGCTATAGTTTGGAAAAAATTTCTATCCTGGGTTGATGTATATGTTGTTTCATATTCATGAAATTCCAAGAATCCTTGATTCTGTAATAAAATTTCGATTCAGGGAGAAACCTTTGAGTTATAGAGAAAATGTTTGTGGATTTGGAAAATGTTCTGTCTACAGAAGTAGTAGAACTTGAACAGGATCTGGCTATATACTAAGTAATGGAGGAAAACAAGGACATCATTCAGACATTTATCTCAAGATAAATTAGTTTAGAAATGTATTAAAGAGCTGGTGTGGTGGTTTACACTTGTAACCCCAGTGCTTTGGGAAGCTGAGACCAGGAGTTCTAGACCAGCCTGGGCAACATAGTGAGACCCTGTCTCTAAAAAAAAAAAAGTATTAAAGAAAATTTACATTTTAAATCTCAATTAATGAGTAAAATGGTGCTCAAAGCCCCATTTGGCAAGACATTAAATTATATAATTTTTTAAAAAATCTCTAGGTAATGTCCCTAGTATAACTATTCCTCTTCATTCCAAACTTTTGGAATGATTTTTAATATATTTTTATATAGACATGTGCACACAAACACATTTTGATAACTGTGCAAAATTGATTCTATCCTTGACTTATGGTGATTCTTTCAAATACAGAAAAAAAATGTTATTAACTATTATACTACAACCACTAAGACATTATCTACTTCCATTCATTTTTCAGGGCTTGCCTTTGCAGGCTTTTGTAACCAGTGACTTCAAGGACAGCGACTCCAAGGACAGCTGCAATTTGAATGAATTTAGCACAGTTTTAACCCAATAAGCATTGTGGATCTCAAGGGCTTCAGTCTTGTAAATCTCACAGTTTACATGGCAACCATTTGAAGGAGAAGCTGTGGAAGAAGGGGAAATATATTTGTATTTATATCTATATACATATAAATTTGTATGGTAATTTAAACACAATTGCAAAATGATTTTCTTTTAGTTCTTCATCTTTTTTTTCTGTGTGCCCCCAATACCTTTCTAATCCACTGTCATGGCATAACCTATAATCATTAATTCTGGAAGCAACTGGGGAGGAGGTGATGAAAAATATTATTCATTTGTAGTTTTATTCTCATTAAAAACACAAATTTAAAGCATTTCTAAAATTAATATTTAGGAAAAATTAAAAATATCCATATAGTCACATTTTTCTGGAGTTCCAGAAGAAAAATTCTCATTCATAAAACCAATTAACTTTTTGCTTTGTTTGTGTTAAGTCTCTTTGGCAATTCCTTCAGCCCATTGCCAGAATGTTGGCTGTCTAACCATAACCAAAGTATAAGTCCTGTGCCTCTCTTGTTTTCAGCCCTCATATTGCTGCTGCTCTCTCGAATATCCCCCAAGGTCTAAATAAAACTTATATAATGGAGTACTAGGTCTGAAAGCTTCCTCAGAAATTATTTAGAAAACCACTGTGCTGGCAAATGCATCTGTCTATATCTATTTCTAAAGCACTAAATCCCAATTTGGGGCTTCCAATTGAAAATGCCCTATTTTTGGTTCTGGCTGAGACTGTCTCTGATGAAAACTTATTCTACAGGGACATTATATTGAATACTGGATAACAATGCTTTTTTACTGGACAAAACTATTTCACCAACCCATTTATCAAAAGTGTCTTTTACAAATTAGGTTTCCTCGGCCATGGACAAAAAACTCTGTGATGCTTTATGATAATTAGGAGAGAGCCTTGAAAGTATTATTTCTTCCTATAAGGATATTTTTGGGAAAAACAGAAAACAAAACAGCATTGGTTTGCTGAATTTCTTTTATGTTGAAGTTGGAAAAGGGAAGCTTAGGTTGACCTGGAAAGATAAACTAGGTGTGGCTGTCCACTATGGAAGGACGTTAATATTTTAGGCTTTTTCAGTATGGATTTTTTTGCCTAGAAACGATTAAACCTTATAGATCAATGCAAAAGATAAATAAAATGCAAATGAAGAGATATTGCCTCTTTGTTGTTCCTGAGAAAAATTAAATATTTTTTTTATCTGCAGAGCATGGTTTCTCAAGTAAAGTACTGCTTTGCTTCACATTGCCCAAAGGAAATATCCCAAAGAGCCTATGGTTCCTTTTTATTATTTTACCGACTCGAGAAAAAAATTCTTTCCTCCCAAATCTTTGTGTCTGAGATTAGTGGCGATAGAAGAAGAATTTGAAGAAGTCAGGAAAACTTTCTCAGAAATTCTTCTGATGAAAAACTTACATGTCAGAAAGCAAATATCTGACCTTATCCACTTGGCAAAGTGGGCTGAGATATTGTATTAGCCACAGAGAGGAAATTTTATTTTCTTTAATGTGTCACCTTAATAGAATATACTATACTATTTCTAAAGCTATTTAAAACGAATGGATCTAGAATCCCAGAGGAGAGATGACATGTTTAACACATTGAAGATTGCATTCCGAAGACTGGCTTTTGTTCCAGAAGAGAACGTAACGTACTGGGAGAAAATTGAAACAGCTCACTTCGTAGAAGACAGGCAAAATAACTCCAGTGGCTAGGGAAATAATTTGCCCCCCTTTTCCTATCATTTCTCACTGCCCTGCCTTATTCCAGAAAAGATTGAGATGTTTGACAATGATCATAATGCATGAGCTCTCTAAGAGAAACATGGTCTACATTTTTTCAATGAACCTTGTTTGAGGGTCTGTCAGAGTCCCAGCAAGAAAGGGACAGCACATTCCAAAGGGCAATTGAAAAGACTTTAATGGAGGGACTTTTTTACAAAGTGTGTGCAGGGCTCAGGGACCCAGTCAGGAGTGGTGAGACTCCCAAGGCCTGGCTGGCAATACCAGGAAGGTATTACCACCCATAGGCCTGAAAGGAGAAGGAAAGGTAATAATTACATGTTAGAATCCAGTGAAAGCTGTAGCCATGGGGACAGAGGCTCAGCAGGAGCTGAGGCCTTAGATAAGGGAGAAAGTCACTGCCAAACTTTGGGCCAGCAAGCAGAGCACAGAGATAAGTATCTTGGCCTGGTTGTCTCCTTCTACCTTCTTGTCTCCTGCTGGCATCTCCCACTGGCTGAGCCCAACTAGAAATTGTAATGTAATAGAACTTGGCTGAGGCAACCTTTGGAGTTTATTTCCCAGGGCACAAAGCAGGATAAAGAAGGCTGCAGAGTTGATCTGGAAAGGCAGAATATATGCAGGGCTGATATCTACCATGTGCCAGGCAATGTATTGAATTTAGCATCATTGTTTTTCTCTTGATATTATAACTATTTAGGGTGGTAGATTAAGAGGAAGTCATAGAGAGAATAGATTCTGATTTGGGGAAAAATTTACAAATTTTCCTGTGATAGAGTTTTGGCCTACCATGGAAGAGTATCTCTAAAGCACTCTTTGGTATAATGTTTTCCTATTCTAGAATGCAAGTTACTGAGGAAAAACAACTTCTTTATTTGTCTTTGTTTCTTTAGTGCCTGGAACACAGAATATATTCCCTAAATAGATGTTACATTTATGAAAGAACTTTAAAGATATTTAGTGTGAAGAAAAAACTAAAGGGAAATATCCAAGATAGTTATTCTCAAGTATTTATGAGATTATGCCCTTAAATAGGAAAGAGAGTACTTTTTCTCCCATTTGGGACACACTTGGATTTAATGCCTAGAAGTTACATAGAAGGAAGCATTTTGCTCAAATTAAGAAAATTCTAAAGATTAGACCTCTCCAGCTGGAATTGGAAGAGCATGTGAAATAGGGCTGACTCTGTCACTGGAATATACAAGAGTACAGGCTGGTTGTATGCAAATATTTCTAAGGAAGAGATCTCTGCATTGAGCATGAGGTGTTTTGGTTTTTCTTTAATTAGATTTTATATGGCCTGAATCACTATTAGATTATATGCTTTCATAAATTCTAAAAGTTGCTTGCAACTTGTTAAGTCTAGTATTATTTTAACTTCCTGACCTACTTCCTATATACTCACATAGCAGATTTTTAAATCCTCTATAATTATCAGCTATCCATTCTTGTATGATTTTTAAACACATGGTTTTATTTTCTACTAAATTGATTGAATATCTGTTTACAGAGAAACAGGACGCATAGCAATTTAGCACAATCTTCAGAAACAGGCTGCCTGGGTTTAAATGTTAGCCTTTATCAAATTCGCCAATTTTGTAAGCATGGGCAAATTATATAAACTCTCTGTGCCCCAGTGCTTTCATCTGTAAAATGAGGTAGCAATAGAACCTACTGGAGATTGTTACGAGGATTAAAGGATCAATAAGACATTAGGATAGTGGTAGACACAAAGCTAATACTGAATAAAGTTTACTGCTACTACTACTAAGTAGTAATATATAGGCCAATATAGCTATGGCAGAGCTTATATTGCTTATGTTCATTAATTGCAATGTTGTTAAACTCTAAATCTATTACTCACTTTTATTTTATGTAATTCTGCCTATTAGTTAATCCAATTTAATCCTGGCCTATTTCTTGCATAGTAAATTTTTTAAAAGTTGATTATTTCTTCATAAACAATAAATTATGTTGATTATAGAAAATTAAAAATTATAGACATGTGAAAAATTCCTTATAAAGTTCTCATTAGTATATTTCTCTCTGGATTTTTTTATTATTCATGTATACATACGTAATGTATATAAAAACCTATCTATCTGTATCTAAATATAAATGGGTGGATGAAGGGATAAGACTATACACACTGGTTTTTAGCCTATGTTTTCACTCAAAAATATGTTTTACTTCCCTTGTAAATAGGCAATGTCTGCTTTGTTTGCCTGAGCCCAAGAACTATATCCAAATACTCTACACTTAAAAAGACTCAAGAAATATATTTTAAATGAATAAATAAACATTTTTAAATCACTTTTAATGATAGAATAACTTTTAATGATAGAATAGAATAATATATTCCATGATATGTATATGCTACAATATATTCATAAATCTATTGTTGAAACTTAGGCTGGTTTCAGTTTTCATTATTATAGATAGTAAATATTCTTCTTTGAGCATATTTTCATATTTTGATAAATAAAAATTTAACTAGGTTCAAGTCCTAGATGTGAATTTCTGTGTTCAAAGGTATGTACTTTTAAGGCAATACATATTTCAGTTACCTCACAGAAAAATTTTTATGACTGATGATAGCATTTTTTCTTATTCTATCCCTTATGTCATAGTACCTAAAAGTTGTTTCATTTTCTACTTATCTGGCATCTTATTTGTATAGTAAATTAATTTTCTATTTTTCATGTCAATTTCCAGGTATGCTAATCTGCTTCAAGAGACTTCAATCATTTCTCTAACTTTCCATTATGTATATTTTAGCTATATGATTCTTTTCTGATAATTACTTAGTGCATCTTTAATTTATTTTAATGTATTGAAATGTTTAACACATTGCTTTTTATTTTCTAACACACGAGGAATAATTTAAATAAGATTCTTATTATTTATCTATAACTTTAATATGAGAGAAATGCATAATTTACTCTTCAGTGCTACACTGATCTCTTTCTCTGTGGAAACAGTTGTAAGTTACTCTGTATACTAAAGCATTTATATTAATAGCTATTTATCACAGAAATATATTTGTAATTATACGTTTTTGCTTATTTTGGCTATTCAGATCTGAAACATTAAAATCAGTACACAATGTAATTTATAAGGGAATGAAACAATGAAATCCTTCCCATTTCCTGAGAGGTATTTTTACTTCATTCAGCATTTTCAATTTAAGTTCCTAGGTTTCCTAAGTATAATATTCTCAAGTTACTATTAGAATTTGCAATCCTCAACACCAAATCTAAAAAGTGATCTATTTTTAACATGAAAGTAGATTTCTAATTTATATTTTTAAGAAGTTTCATGACATCTCCTGTGGTTGCTCTGAGCACAGCTGAGATGATGTATGAAGGTAGTTGGGAGTCACAGCT